ACATGCCTGCAGGACTGGGGGCACCCAGGCCCAACCCTAAACAGAGTGGGCAGGTCAAGGGTGATTCCTCAAGGTTGGGGCAGGGCCACAATCCCAGGGGGAATGGGGCAGCAAAACCTGTATACCCAGAGCTGAGCTGAACTGTGGAAACTGTTCTGCTCCAAGACCAATGGGCACCAGGGGTGGCCAAGGCTGGAAATGGTGCCCACCTCCTACATGCCTCTCTGCCCTACACCAGCTACCTAGCACATTCTGGGATGTAAGGAATAAACCAGGAGGCTGGCTCAGACTGAGTTCCAGGCCCCTCCTGCCCACAGCTCAGGGAGAATGGGAAGGAATTCTCAGGGGCCAGGGCAGACGAGGGGGAGCCCTGAGCCATGCACATTCCCACATGTGCAGTCTGCATGCCTGGCCCCACCTCACCTGGACCCACCATGATACCCAGCTGGCGCTATGCCTGCTTTAGCCTTGTGGCTTCTCTCAGAACCACAGGTTCTTCAAAGGAACTCTATCTTCCTAAGTCTGCCACCCACAGAGCATCTGCCTCTAGGGCCAAGGGCAAGGTGTGACAGAACAAGACAGTCTGCCCCAGGGGTCAGAGGGCTCCAGCTGGGTCCTTCTTCTGGTTAGCCCACCCAACCCTATCTGCCATGCAGCAGTCCTGGGTCTTCCAAGACCACCAGGCCTGACCAAGCCATCTCCTCTCTGCCTCCTTGCATGGGGACCTCTGGCCCAAGGTGTCCGAAGGCCAGGGGATGGGGTCCTGATGTCTCATTCTTTAAAACTATGCACATCTCCTCTGAGCAGCTCACACCAATGAGATGGAATGGCAGGCTCCCATGGCATCCCACATGTGTGAGTGGGGGGTGTCCTTCTTGGGGTTCTGGGGACACACAGGCCTGCTAGACATGTTCACGACATGAAGACAAGGCATAGATTAGTGGAGTGTTGATGGTGGGCTGGCTGCTTCTACAGGTCAGAGTTGGATACCATGGGCAACTCTAGGCCATTCTGTGTTCCTCACACCCTCAGAAGCCACCTGAAGAAGGAATGTGGCACAGTGCCCCCAGGCTTTATGGGCTGGAGGGTTTTTTCAGAGCCATCAGCCAACCTCATAGTCATGGCAACCTTTCCCAGGTCCCTCCAGCCCTCCCTGGTCATGCCACCAGTGGCAGCCCTGATGGGGGCCCAGATGCAGGAGGATGATGTGGGAGTAAGGGCCAAGGATCTCAGGTGACCCATAGACTCACACACACACAGAGAGCTGGCTCCTGCTGGTGCACACACACACAAAACACAAAGACCTGCATGTCAGCAGGAGTTCCTGCTTGCACATCTGCCCACATGGCCCACAAGGTCTCCATGTGTCAAGCACAAGAGTCAGAGCCTTTTCCTGCCAGAGACTAGGGGTGGGGGGCCTGGTGCCTACTCTCTCCTCAGGCAGCCAGGTGACCCCGGTGGTTGCTGATAGAATCTGGGAGAGAGGCTGGAAATGAACAGTGGAAGCAGGGCCAAGGTTCAGTGTCCAGAACCAAGAGCTCCTCAGTGAGGACTCAAGAGCCTTGCTGAGACAGTCTCTCCATCAACTTCCCAAGAACACAAAAAGAAGGGAACTTCCAGGGCTGCAGTCCCCGGGGGTTCCCACTCCATTTTTAGTAGAGAGCGTTGAGGCACAGTTCTCCTCCCCCCAGCCCTCTAGTCTGGATTTAAAAATAACTACAATGTTTTTTAATGACTGACCTCTCCTAGGAGCCTATTTATCCAGGAAGCCACAGAGGGTGGGGAAAGGACATGCTGGTCACCATGCCAACCAAGCACCTGACAGAAGATCCCAGCAGTCCAGTTGCCCCAACTCTGGGGCTGGTCCAGGCAGCTCTGAAGGGCAAGCTGTCAGGCCACGGCCAGGAAGCATACATCTGACTGCCCACCCAGCATGGACTGAGTATCCTGGTCACAGCTGATCTTTTAGCAGCCCCTCACCTGAATGGAAACACAAGGAAGCAAGAGAAAGACCAAAGCCAACTTGGAGAAGACAAGGAATAAAGACCCTCAGAGAGAACAGGGCTCATCAGGGCCCAAGGCCAAGGGTCAGGGATCATGTGGACAGTGGGTTTGGTGTAGAACAGCTAGGAGGGAAACCACCAGCTAGAGGGACATCAGAGAGCTAGTCATTCCTGTGTTGGACAACACAGCAGGCTGGCCTGGTGCCACATCTCCTGTCCTGAGCTGGGCAGGCCTGACAAAGCTAATATGGACTGATCTGGGTTGTGCCAACTGTGGCTTGAGTGAACAGTCATTTAAAAGGAGATGAAGTATTCTCAGCTCAATTGGGCCAGGATGGTCAATCTGGCCAGACCTCAGCCATACTGGCCTTGATGCACTGAGGTAGGCCAGGCTGCACTGAGCTGGGCTGTCTCAGACTGGGCTGATTTGGGTGAAAATAGTCAGGCTAGGCTAGGCTAGGTCATAGTTAGGCTAATCCAACTGAGCAGAGCTGGGGTAGCCTGGAATGGACTGGCCTAAGTTGGCTGAGCTGAGCTAGACACACCTCAGCTGAATGATGCTGACTTGAACTTGGCTGGAGTCTGCCGAACTGAGCAGGGTAGAGTTGGGGGAAGCTGGGCTTAGCAGCACAGGATCAAGTTAGAGAAGGAAAGGTGGGTGGAATAGGCTACTTTGGCCTACTTGGGCATGGCTGGGCAAGACTGAGCAGTTCTCTGCTGAGTGTGACACACCGGGGCAAGGCTGAGATGATCTGAGCAGAGCTGGAATGAAATGGACTGAACTAGGCTTAAATAAGCTGAAATAGGCTGAATTGAGCTAGGCTGAATTGAGCTAGGCTGAACTGGGCAGGGCTGAGCTGAGCTGAGCTGAGCTGGGTTGAGCTGAACTGGACTGAGCTGAGGTGGGCTGGAACAAACTGGGCAGAACTGGGTTGAAGTGGGCTGAGCTGAATGACCTGAGCCAAGCTGAGCTGAGCTGGGTTGAGCTAAGGTGAGCTGTGCTGTGCTGATATGAAGTACGCTGAGCTGGGCTGCACTGAGCAGGAATTAAGAGGGCTAAACTGACCTAAACTGAGCTGAACTCAAAAGAACTCAGCTGAGCTGAGGTGGGCTAAAATGGTCTAAGCTGAGATGAGGTGAGCTGAGCTGAGCTTGATTGGGGTTGACCTGGGCTGACCTTGTAATAACCTGAGCTGAATTGAGTGGAGCTGAGCTAAGCTGGGCTGGAATAAACTGGACAGTACTGGGTTGAAGTGGACTGAGCCAAATGACCAAAGCTGAGCTGGGTTTAGCTAAGCTGAACTGAGGTGGGCTAAAGTGGGTTGAACTGGGCTGAGGTGAGCTGAGGAGAGCTGGCTAATCTGGAATGAACTGGGTTGAACTGGACTGAGCTGAGCTGGACAGAGCTGAGCAGAGCAGAGCAGAGCTGGAATTAATTGGGCTGAACTGAGCTAAGCTGAGCTGAGCTGAGCTGGAATGAGCTGGGCTGGCTGAGCTGTGGTGAAGTTTGCTCAGCTGAGCTGAAGTGGGCTGGCCTGAGCTGGGCTGGGAAGAGCTTAAATGGACTAAAATGGGTTGAACTGGGCTGAGCTAAGCTGAGCTGGGCTGACCTGGGCTGAACTGGAATGAGCTGGGCTGAAATGGGTTAAACTGGGCTTGGCTGACTGAGCTGTGGTGAAGTTTGCTCAGCTGAGCTGAAGTGGCTGCCCTGAGCTGAGCTGGGCAGAGCTTAAATGTACTAAAATGGGTTGAACTGGGCAGGGCTGAGCTGAGCTGGGCAGGGCTGGGCTACACTGGACTAAGATGGACTGAACTTGGCTGAGCTGTGCTGAACAGGGTTGAACTGGGATGCAGTTGGTTGAACTGAATGGGCAGAACCTAACTGGGCTGAGCTGAGCTGAGTTGGACTCAGTCTGGTCAAGCAGGGTGGTGTCTTCTATGAGTCCCTTTTGTCTTGGCTTAGTTGTGCTAAAATTGAGTTCAATTTATTGAGTAGGCTGTCCTTGGCTGACAGGTTGAAACGAGCTGAGTCAGAGTAAGTTGGTTTAATTTTGTAGGCTGAAGTAAGATGAGATCGAAGCTGGAAATATTCTATTCCAGGCTCACCTGGATGAGGATGGACCAACAGGGACTCTCTGGAACTGAGCTGGGCTGAAATGGGCTGGGCTGGGCAGAGCTGGCACACAGAGCTGGTTGGTGTTGCTGGTGCCAGCTGTCCTGACACAGGGTCACCTGGATCATAAGAGCAGAGTGGACAAGTGGGGAAGAAGCTGGAGCAGGGTAGGATGGGCTGAGCTCCAAGGTTCCCAATGCCAGGGAGAGGCTGGCTGAATCACCCACTGAGGGAAGACTTTAAGTGGGCTCTGAGGTGCCCCTGTCATCTCTCCATGGAGCCTGACTTGGACTTCCTTGGAGGTCAGCAGGGAGGGGAGAACATCAGGGAAGCCTGGCTAGTCAGTGACAAATGGAGGAAGGGGCACTCACAATTGCAGGGAACAGAGCCTGATGAGCATCAGGTGGGGTGGAGGAGGGGACACACTAGTGAGTCCTGTGGCATGGGGGCCTTGGGACCCCAGGCCTTGATAGGAGGGCTCAGGGTGAGGCCAGAGGAGCCTCTTGCTGGTTCCAGGGGTCTTGGGGTCCCAGAACCCCAGTGGGCTCTGAGCCTCAGCCTGGAGGTTTAGCTGCTGCCTGTAATGCCTGAGAGCCCATAGTCTAGCCACTTAAGCTGAGGGTGGGATCCTGACCAATGGTGTAGACAGAACCAGCTTCCAGTGGGAGCTCAGGGCTCATCAAAGGCTGTTGAAGAGGAATGGGTCCAAAATGAGCCTGGGCTATTCTGCAACCAGGGCTGGAGCAAGAGTCCAGTACTCTGTCCACTAGGCAACCCTGCCTCTGCCCCTCAGGCCTCCTTCTCAGCTTCTCTGGGGCCTTGGGAGTAAATGCCCCAGGTCAGAGGTGAGCCAGCACTCACCTGGCCCTGGTTTCATCCCACAGTTTCCAGGCAGCATCCGTCCATCTTCCCGTTAGTCCCCTGCCACAGCAGCATCAGCATGGGGGACACCTCTGTGACGCTCGGCTGCCTGATCAAGGACTACATCCCAGAGCCTGTGAATGTGACCTGGGATGCAGGGTCCCTGGAACATAGTGTCATGACCCTTCCTGGCACCTTAGACTCGACCACAGGCCTCTATACCACCATCAGCCAGACAACCACCTCAGGCGAGTGGGCCACACAGAAGTTCATCTGCAGTGTGGAGCATGACGGCGCTGCTGTGGAAAAGACCATAAGTGTTAGGAAAGGTAGGACAAACTGCAGCCAGGGGGCTGCTATCAGAGGACAAGGGGCATGCTGGGTGGGAGGGGGCATCACACCTGGGGTTCCTGGATCCCTGGGCAGCTGGGAGGTGGGATTCAGAGGCTCAGAGAGGCCAATATCAGGCCCACTACCTATTCCCCCAGTGTGTGCCACCAACGTCACGCAGCCCACTGTGAAGCTGTACCACTCTTCCTGCAACCCCAGTGGCAATACCCAGGCCACCATCCAGCTTCTGTGCCTCATCTCCGACTTCACTCCAGGTGACATCAAGGTCACCTGGCTGGTGGATGGACACATGGACAAGAGCATGTTCCCATACACCAGCACCCCAAAACAGGAGGGCAACCTGTCCTCCATCTTCAGCCAGCTAAACATCACCCAGGGTGAATGGGTATCTCAAAAAACCTACACCTGCCAGGTCTACTATCAAGGCTGCAAATTTGAGAAGCATGCCCGCAACTGCCCAGGTACAGTGCCCCCATGCTGATACCACAACCTCAGGGCTGAGAGGAACCCAATGTAGCCTAACACAGCCCCTCCTCGCACACCACAGAATCTGAGCCCCGAGGTGTGAGCGTCTACCTGATCCCGCCCAGCCCCCTTGACCTGTACCTTCACAAGTCACCCAAGATCACCTGCCTGGTGGTGGACCTGGCCAGCATCGACAGTGTGACCCTGCAGTGGTTCCGGGAGAGCAGGGGCCTCGTGAAAGACACCATGTGGAACAGCAAGCTCCAATTCAACATGACCTACACCGTCACGTCCACCCTGCCAGTGGAGGCCAATGACTGGATTGAGGGCGAGACCTATGAGTGTAGACTGACCCACCCGCACCTGCCCAGGGAAATTGTGCGCACCATCTCCAAGGGCAATGGTCAGCCTCGGGCTGGGGGTGGGGTGGGCTGGAACCCTGCTGGAGCCTGGGCTAACCCCACACCTGTTCACAGGCAAGCGTGTTGTCCCTGAGGTCTATGTGTTCCTGCCACCTGAGGAGGAGCAGGGGACCAAGGACACGCTCACCCTCACCTGCCTGATCCAGAACTTCTTCCCTGCGGATATCTCTGTGCAGTGGCTGTGCAACAACTCCCTGATTCCAACCAACCAGCAAGCCACCACATGGCCCCTCAAGGTCAACAGCTCCAGCCGCACCTTCTTTATCTTCAGCCGCCTGGAGGTCAGCCGGGCAGACTGGGAGAAGAGGAGCCAGTTTACATGCCAAGTGGTCCACGAGGCTCTGTCAGGCTCCAGGACCCTGGAGAAATCAGTGTCCAGAGGCCCTGGTAATTGATGCCAATTCCTCCTGCCCCTCCCAAGGCTCCATCCATCCTGCTGGGACTGGGAGGATGCTGGCCAGCTCTTCTGCTCAGTGTTGTCAATAAACACTCCAGTGCCTGTGCAGAGCCCTGGGTGCCCATTCTTGGGGGTGTGCAGGGCAGGGCAGGGTGTCTGGGGCAGAGGAAAGGACACCAAGAGAGGGCTGGGAGGTGCGGGGCAGGGATAAGATGTGGCTCTGTCCACCATTCCCGTTTGTATCAGGGGCCTCCCTGCTACCCCACTATCAATCCTGCCCACTCAATGGTGTCCTAAACAGCAGAGAATGGTTTTGGTGTAGGGACCATGGAGACCCCAGCTCAACCCAAACCTACTGCCTCTCAGGAGCCCTGAAGGCCTTGGCATGTACCCAAGGTTCCTGGTAGCCCCTCCAGACACTGACAAGCTCCCCAACTCCAAGTTCAGAGCTGCATACACAGGTCCTTCTGGGTGGAGGCACAAGCTGAGTGAGGTGCCCACACAGAGGCCAACATGCTGGGACTCAGACAACCCCACTGCCAATGTCCGTGCTAGCTCCTCCTGAGCAGAATTGGTCAGGGGCAGCCCACAACCCACACAGGGCCAGCCAGCACCAAGCCCTGCCACACTCTGACCCTCACCTCACCCCACCCCAGATCAACTCCAGGGAAGGGCCTGGAACATGCCTCCCATGCAGCTGCACCCACCATGCCAGCCCTGCACCCACAATGGTGCCACCCCCCACCAACTGTGGTGCCCATGTAGCACAATCATTGCACAGACACTCCTGAGAAATCTTCCTTGGCCTGCCTCTTGCCCCAGGCACCCCCAGAGCCTTCCTCCCCATCACACTTGGGCCATGGGGTGGAAAGATGAGCATGGAAAGGCCCTACACCCCCAGCTTGGAGCCCAGCAGGCCACACACTGCTTCCTCCTGTGGCCCCAGCCTCCCCAGTCAAACCCTCCCTGTCAGTTGTACCCACAGATGGACAGACGTACACATACACAAACACAGACACAAAAAATGTTACACAAAGACACAGACACACCCAGAGACACACACAGACACACAGACAAAAAGGGACATCTACCTATACAGGTGACATACATGGACACAGACACTGGAACATATAGCCACACATGGATACACACAATCAGGACACACACTGACACATGTGGGCACATATGCAGGACACTCACACACCCAAGACGTGGGTTTTCCTACACCCCAGAGCAGGCTCCTGGCCCCATCTCAGGGTCTGGAGGCTGCAGGGATTAGAACCAGAGACCAGTTCTACCCCAGGCCCCAAACTCATGTGCACACCCAACCACCCAGACCCACATTCCATTGTTCATGCATGAACACACACACCCTCCCCAGCACAGCAGCACCATGCGTATTCTATGTGAAAAGCAGCAAATGTTAGCCTATAGTGCAACACAGGCCAGAGATGCCCAGCTGCTGTGCTCCACACAAAGCCTGGCACCTGCACATCAGGCCACCTAACTCCTCAGAGTTGGGGGATGAGGGACAGCACTGGGGACAGCGCTGGGCCAAACACAGGGCCAGGGGCAGCTACAGGCTCCCATCTGACCAGGTCAGCTTCTTGAAGCAATGGCCTGTGTCTGAAGCTCAGACCCCTCCTGGGGCTTCAGGTCACCAACATATGTGCCATTTGTGAGGGTTCCCAGGACAGCAAGTGAGAAGCTGAGTAAGCACAGGGCTGGGGGGGGTGAGCAAAGCAAACACTGAGGTGAGAAGCCCCCAGGGCAAGCTTAGGGGACCAGCAGTAAGGAGAGAAGCTTGATGAGTGGGGCAAGAGAAAATGTGGAGGGGTAGGGATCAGGAAATGGCAGAGGGCAGAACTCCCACACAACTACCCTTGGCGAAGCAGGGGTTTGCAATGTCATTCCTGTGGGACTGACTAGAGGCTTTGGGAAGTTGCCAAGGGGGCTGCACAGGGACTTCCTGAGACTCCCAAGGCTGGTGAAGGCTAACTGGCAGGTACCCACAGAGGTGGACCTCCAGGACCTATGTGCCGGGGTGGCCGAGAGTGAGGAGCTGGATGGGATATGGACCAGCCTCTTCATCTTCGTGGTGCTCTTCCTGCTCAGCGTAACCTATGGTGCTTCAGTCACACTTTTCAAGGTGGGACACCACCCCTCTTCCTCAGATGAAGGTGGGTTGGGAGAGCCAGAAAGGCAGACAGAGCCAGAGCAGAGCCCCTCATGCACACCCTCCTCACAGGTGAGGTGGATCTTGGTGGCTGTCCTGCAGGAGATACCTCAGAGCACCCATGACTATGCAAACATCATGCAGCCAGAGGTTTGGACCCACAGCACCAGCGGCACACAGCCTGGATGCCTTCATCCCCGCGTCTGAGCACTGCTGAGGTTACCTACTCTGCCCCAGATGAGAAGGGAGCAAACAGACCTCCAAAGGGCCAGAGGCAGGAACTCGAAGACTGGCTAGTGGGGATCCGGATTGTTCTAGCTCAGGCCCCAGGTCCAGGCACCAGTGGGACCTGCCCATCCCAGCCCCACTGTCACCCCACTCTGAGATAAGTCCCAGAGCAGCATCTGTCCTTTTAACAGAGTAGCCTGAGCTGGGCATGGGTGCAGATGCTCTGGGCTTCTCCCAGGTACCTGGGATCTAGGCCACCCTGTTCTGACTAGACAACTCAAGAAACACAGTGAAGAGCCCATGGCCTGGCCCACTGCCCAGAACTCAGAGCCAAACTGAGGACTCAGCATCAAGCTCAGCCCAATCCAGCCTCCCAGCCCAATACTCAGTATTCACAGCAAACCAAGGATTAGAGCCCAAACCCAGTCTGAGGTCTCACTCCCTAGACTTAGTCTGACCCTCCCTGGCCCCAGGCCTGAGTGCCCAGCCCTTGTGCCCAGCCCCTGTCCCTCTGCTCACCCTTCCTGGTATCTACCCCAACCCTGTCACTGAAGAATGTGGAGGCAGAGAAGCCCTTCTGGGGAAAGACCCTGACATTGTTTGCAGATGGGGCAGGACCCCATTGGTGGGAAAAGGAGTCCCACAAGGCACAAGCAGCGGCTGGCATGGTCTGGCAGCCACAGTCCCATCCACTGTGGCTTCATCCCAACTCTCACTCCTGGGTTGGCAGTTTAGTTTCCTTCTCATTGTGATTTTAGTAAAGTTGTTTTACAAACCCCATGCCCCTGAGTGTGCATTGGAAGAAATTCCTGTGGCCTCATGGGGGTGGTCAGATGAGGGACACAGGGCACTTATGGGGCCCTATGGGCCCATTTGGCCAGCAGCTACCTACATTAGTCCTTTTGACACCCCAAAAAAACCTTGGCTTGGTGCCCATCCCACTTGCTCCCTGGTCTTTGGCCCAGGCTCACTGCCCCTTCCCACACTGAAATAGGAGCCACAATCCCAAGCTGTCTATGTTAAGTGCAGGAGCCACAGGAACCCAGCTGCACATGCACCAGGTGGGGGTCACTATCAGCCTCCCAGGACTACTGGCCACCTGCCCCAATATACCCACCCACTGAGCACAGAGACAGGCCAGTCCTTGGCTCCTGTGACCCTCCACCCCCAGCCAGCCTGGACATCACAGTGAGCTGAGCAAGTGACTCCAGCAAGCATGAGCCATGCAGGGTTGGCCATCATCACCCTCAAGAAGGAACCTGATGCACCAGAGAATCAGGAGCCACAGGCCACCAGAGATGGCCAGGCAGGCAAGAAGAGGTGGTTTCCCTGATTGGACAGACCTGCTCATGAGGATCTCTGTGAAGTCCACTGGGAATGGGAGGAGAACATATGAACACACTGATGCAGGGCAGGGCTCCCTCACACACAGGTAGTGCGCAGGAACAAATGAAAAGAAAAAAGTGAGCAGTGGGTTCTTTAAGCGAGGAAAAACCAAGGAGCCAAGAATAGGAAGAAAAGCTTTTAATAACTAATAATTTACAATAAGGAGGAAGCCAGAGTTGCATCTGAGTATGCTTTGTGGGTCTCATCCTGTCTTAGGCATGGAAAGAGTTCACACCATACTTCAGGCATGTCCTGGCCACATTGCCAGTGTGCAAACCCCCAGACCCTTTGGACAGAAGACTACTCCTCCTGGTGGTCCTTCACAGGGCCTGGCTCTATACTATGTGGCATCACAGTACATAGCTGACACTGTCAGGACCATAAAAATGAGCTCCTACGGCAAGCTTGCCACCTGCCAGAGCACAGACCTTGGCACTCAACCCTCATTGGAGTAGAAAGCCCAAGATTGGGCAACTCAGGCTTGTCCAGGGATGCTAAGGGTTGGGGCTAGACAGAACATTGAGGAACAGGGGGCTTTTCATGCTGCAGCCCCCACCCTTTTGTGCACTCACAGACACAGTGCCACACACTCAGGGACACACTGTCATACACTTGGGACACACATTCATAGACAAATGGTCACACACTTGGGGAAACACACAGGCACACACTTGGGTACACATTCACAGACACTGCCACATACTTGGGGACACAGATACACTGACATACATGGGGACACACAGTCACACACTCAGGGACACAGAGTCACAGTCGGAGACACACACACAGTCACACACTGAGGAACACACAAACACTTGGGAACACATTCACAGATCCACTGTCACATACTCAGGGACACACATTCATAGACACACTATCACACATGCAGTGACACACATGAACCCTCACACTTGCACAGACACACACACAGCCTCAGGAAGCCAGGCCCCAACTACCACCAATCCCCTCATCTGTCAAGCCACAGCCTGAAGCCTCTTCCTTATCTCCTGGGCCAGGAAACCCCCAGGGTAGAGATGACTGTCTCCCTGTCCGACTTGTGTCCCAGGTCATAAGATACCTCCACAAGACCTGGAATGAGGACATCAAGGATCTGGCTCACACATGAGTGAATGGAGTCTCTATGAAGCCTGGGAGGGAGTAGTGATGGTCACCCCACCTGGAGGTCTGAGCATGGTGCAGGCAGGGGAGAGGATGGGCCTACAGCAGGGACACCCATGGCCCTGCTTTCACAGCCCTCTCAGGAGCAAGAGGTTACCTTTCCAGGGCCCCTCCCTCTTGTTCCTT